CGCGCCAGGCTCGCGTCAGGGCTGAGGTTGTCTGCGGTACCTAGCGACGGACGGGACGCACGCTCGTCTGGCGAGCAACATGAAAAAGCAGGATTGCGGGAGATTTTGGTTGGGAGAGGATTTCCCCTCTTTGAAAGCAGTCATGAGTACGACTCACTGGGAAACGTCCAGCTTTGAGATTTAAAGATCACTGCTGAACTATTTCACAAATACCCGTCTCCTCTTTTTAAACTAGGTTTACCTCTGCTCGTACAAAGAACAATCGCGAGGACTATTGTCCTGCAGGAAATTGTAGGAAAAGGCCGATTTGGTGAAGTCTGGCGTGGAAAATGGTGCGGGGAAGATGTAGCTGTGAAGATCTTCTCCTCCAGAGATGAACGGTCCTGGTTTCGGGAGGCGGAAATTTATCAGACGGTTATGCTGAGACACGAAAACATCCTGGGCTTTATTGCTGCCGATAACAAGGGTATGCTGCGAGTTGCGTGTGAGATCCCGCGTGTTTCTCTCGGAATGGCTTTCGCTGCCCCCGCTCCCATCTGAACCGCCGCTGCGGGCCTCGCAGCTGCCCCGAGCTCCCTCCCGGCGGGCGGCCGGCTAGCTGCTTCGTTCGCATGCCTGAGCCGGCCACAAAACGGGGAGGGCTTTTCCCGGCCGATGTTTTTAATGAAGCTGAATAGTCTTGCTTCCTCCGGGTAGATAACGGGACGTGGACGCAGCTCTGGCTCGTCTCCGAGTACCACGAGCAAGGGTCCCTGTACGACTACCTGAACAGAGCCACGGTGACGGCGGAGGGCATGGTCAAGCTGGCGCTGTCGGTGGCCAGCGGCCTGGCGCACCTCCACATGGAGATCGTCGGCACGCAAGGCAAGTGCTTCCCTTCCGCTCCCCGGAGGGGCTTCGGTGTTACTTGCAGAAGCCCATGTTTATGGGTTACGCGGTATTGTACGTGCTGCGAGGAGCATTAGCGTAAGTGTAGCGGTACAGTATGGACAGGGAACAGGGACACGCTCTCCGCGCCGGCACTGCCGGCGCCTCCTTCCCCAGCTCTAGGTGCCATTCCGTGGGAGACGCTGTGCTGAAGGGGAGTGTTACTGGAGGTGCGGGGGGTGAACCTGCGGTTTCTGGTTTTGTGTTTTACTCCTGAAATACAGATACTGGAACAAAAATGCCCTCAAGGTGTTTTTTTTTTAATTTGGGGGCCTTTAGCAGAGCTTTCCTTAGTACGAAACAGATTTTGTTGTTTTTTAATGGGTGTAGTAACAAACTGGTTTTGTCTCCTTGCTCCGTATATTAAAATTCATACTGTTGTTACCAAAATTAATGGTGTTTTCTTCTCCTGTGAACAGGCAAGCCAGCGATCGCACACCGAGACCTGAAATCTAAAAACATCCTAGTGAAGAGGAACGAAAGCTGCGCCATCGCGGACCTGGGCCTGGCGGTGAAGCACGACTCGGTGCTGAACACCATCGACATTCCCCAGAACCCCAGGGTGGGGACCAG